CTGACAGGCTGGATAGAACAACAGCTGCAGCTCATTGACCAGTGTCAGCAGACCCCCGATAGGGAGACCCCTGCTCAGCGCAGGGTGTGCTGGCCAGAAATAGAACCTCACGCAGAGCCTAAACTGCGGGCAGGATGTCTGCTGAGATGGGTGGGCGACCCAGGTTGTCCTGGGCAACTCAGGAGCATTCCTGAAGGATGGTTACATAAATTCACTTATTTATCCTGTTTAAGGGGGGCAGATTTGGAGCTGACAAGATGGAGAACAGGGGCCGCTTACCTTTTATTTTACACATTTCTGAGCTATTTGTGTGTTTTTAAAAACAACTACTCATTTTCTTAGAATAATGTCTCCTTCTCTTATCCTAGTCAGTGTCCCTTGTTGGAGGCAATATCACCTCCTTAAAGCAAGTCTTCTCTGGCCACCTCCTCCACAGCAAACTCCCCTGCCAATTCTTTATCATATTATCCTGCGTAATGCCTTCATAACACTTATCGCAATCTGAAATCATCTTTGGATTGGTTTGTCCACTAAAGTATCGCTCGCCTCCTCCTACTGGAATATCCTCTCCATGAGGGCAGGGATCTTATCTGCCTTGCTCACTACTACCCTCCTAGGGCCTAGGACAGTGGGGACGCATGGAAGGTGCTCACTAACGTTTTTGAAAAACTAAATACACAGACAAGTGATGGGATTTACGAAGGTCCGTGTTCATTCTGCAAGCCTGATATAATGTGCAAAAACACAGTCACATAGAGATTTGGTTAACGCTAGGATCGGTCACACCAATTTTTCTGAAAGTGATCCCCAGTGAGGCTGTTTTTGTGTGCACACATGTTCATGTATCAAGTACGGCCTGCCAAATCCAGCCTGTTGCCTGTTTCTGTAAATAAAGGTTTATTGGAACACAGCCACACCCATACACATATGGATCATCTGTGGTTGCTTTTGAGCTGCAAGGGCAGAACTGAGTAGTTGTAACAAAGACCACGTAGGCTGAAAATACTTACCATCTGGCCTTTTATAAAAAAGTTTGACAAACCCTGAGCTGAAGAAACAGAGAAGTATGGTTTTGACTGAAAACTGCACAAGAGTAAACTGCAGAGTTCACATAGACACTTGCGAGTGACAATGGTAGTGAATACTTTATTTAGGCCTTGTGATGTGCTAGGTATTGTGCTAAATGCTTTAGGTGTATTATCTCCTGTAAGTTAATTCTCATCACAACACTATGAGTAAGTTCTGACTGCTGAGGCTAACTGAGGTCCAGTAACTTGCCAGGGTTAACATGGGCAGTGACAAACTCAGAATTCAAACCCAGATCCAGGTCTGTGCACCCCTGAAACCTGCATTTGCATCCACTCTGCTGTATAGACTCCAAGGAAAGGACTTTCTAGCCACATCTAGCAGAACCCTCAGCACTCCTGAGACTGGTCTGTCTCCTCCCTGTCCTCAGAAGACAACCTGGACGTCCCCACTTCCTGGGGATGCTTAGGCTGTTCCTTCTATCTTAAACGCCTGATTCCTCTCTTTCTCTGAATTCTACCAATTTGTCAAGACTCAGTTAACTCCTCCTTCTCTGAGGGCTGGCTTCTCCTCGCCCTCAGAGTTACATTTTTAACTCTTCCTCCAACCAATATACAAACTGTTGGAGGGCAGAGGCTGCTTCTTAAAGCACAGAGCCTTTGCTCATACTGCATGTGTATGCAGCAGGCACTCATGCTCCTCAATAACAAACCAAAACTCTCATAAAACTGCTGCCTTCCCTCCCCTGGAGAAGATGCTCTTTAGTAGAACCACATGCCAACTCAAAACGCCAACACTCTCTTTGACTTGGACATCTCTCTTTAACTATCAACAAATCAGCAACCACAAGCTTTATTATCAGCACCCGGGATGTTTCTGCTACTTTCTCCCTTTCAAGAACATATGGAACTTGATTTTCATTGTTATCATTTTCATTTAACTGTACTATTAAACTCTCCAATTCTCTCTAACCCTCAGGAATCCTGCCTTCCTATCAGAACACAAGTTTCCTTGGATCCCGGTGGGATAACCGCTATTTCACCTCTCTGGTGTTACAATGCATGTTCATCATCACAAAATGTAGGTGTAAAAATAGCTGAACTCAACAATACTGCCTGGGGAGCGTAGTTACACTTGGAGGTGTAGTTTCTGGGAGGGGAACAAGGGGGGCTTCTGGGATGATGGTTATGTTCTGTTTCTTGATCTAGGTGTGCAATATGTAGATGTGTTTGCTTTGTGAGAACTCATTCAGCTGTACACTTAGGATCTGGGCACTTTTCTGTAGATATATTCTATTTCAATAAAAAGTTCTAAAATATGCCTTGCAAACATAGTAATACACAGTGGATCTTTTTTTACAGAAAAGCACATCTCATTTTCTTCATGCAATATCCTTACAAAAAAGATCAGTGAGACCATTTTACTAGTGGTAGGATGAAAGAAAAAAGGCGAAGCAACTCTCAAGGCGCCATATAACAAATTTAGGTGAGACTGGTGTTCAAGGACAAATCTGACCCCAAGACTGCCAGGCCTCGCCTACTCCCGTAGCTGAACTAACTGATTCCTATTAGAAGCAGATACTCTGATTCAGAAAACCAAACTCACTTCATGACCCAAGAATCATAAGACAGTTATCTGAAACAAAACATACAACGGAAGTGGGTAACAAGTCCAAATGGTGTTATATAATAGCCTTTAGGTGGTGAGGCACTTAGCCATCTTCAGACCTTGTAAAAGTGAGGAATTGGCTCTACCACAAACAGAAAAAGCTACCACTTATGCTATAGACTAATGTTTGTGTTGCCTCCCCTCCAAATTCATATGTTGAAATCTTAACCCCCAAGGTGATGGTATTAGGAGGTGGGGCCTTTGGGAGGTGCTTAGGTCATGGGGGTGGAGCCCTAATGAATGGGATTAATGCCCTTATAAAAGAGACTGAGGAGAGCTCCCTCACCCCTTCCCCCATGTGAGGACACAGGGAGAAGCCAGCAGCCTGCAACCCGGAAGAGGGCCCTCGCCAGAACCCAACCATGCTGACACCCTGTTTTCGCACTTCCAGAATCCAGAACTGTGACAAATAAACTTACGTTGTTTATAAGCCACCCCGTCTATGGTAATTTGTGATAGCAGCCCAAACAGACTAAGACAACTTATTAAGACTAGGTCAAGCACTGGGCTAAACACTCTCCATACATACTCTCATTCACTCTTCATAACTACCCTAATTGTACCCCTGCTTTACAGATGAGAAGACTGAGGCATGGAGAGGTTAAGGAACCTACCCAAGGTTACAGGGTTATTAATGGGCAGGGCAGGGATTCAACCCAGGCAGCCAGATTCCAGAATCCATGTTCTTAACCATGATGCTAGTCATGCCTTGGTTGTGATGCACCCAGAGATGGGTTTCCAGTTTCTAGTGTGCGACATATCTTCTGGTGTGCATCATAGCTCAATAAAATGTGCTTGTTCCAACGCAAACAATTATAAGAACCTTGACAAGCACACCCAACTCCATAAATGGCAGCCTGATTTACAGAGTGGATCTCTGCCTTCAAAAGATTCCTAATTACACAGATGACAGAGTGTCCATGGCTACCCCCTTTCTACCCCATTTATTTGTTGGAAATCCAAAGACAATACACTTGGCCTACCTGAAGCCATAATCAGCCCAGATTAGATGAGAAAGGTCAGCGGTCTTACTCTCTCTTCCATTACTAAAGATGTATTGCTTTAACAAAGTATTTGCTCATCCTTCTTGAGTAAGCAAAAACTATACCCCAATTGCATCAGCAAAGCTCAGGAAAACTAAATAAACCTAACTTTTGTTGGATGTCTGCAATGCTACTTTTTAGAGGAACATTTTAGTAACAGCATTTTGAATCTACTTTTCTTTTTAAGCCACACTGATCTTTATGAAAGGTAAAATTGCTTTCATAGGTTACTTTTGAGGAATTTAAGTAGGGAAAAAAGTTATTTAAATATAATAGTTGATTTAATTAATTCTCTGCATTTTGATTTGTTGAAGTAATTAAAATAATCTGATGAGGCTTCTCCCCCAAGTCATCCCTGCCACACACACACACACACACACACACACATTCTGAGACTATCAGCTGTGCCAGGAATGCAAATTAGGAAAAAAATCCAACAACATGATTGTCAATCCATCAAATGATTGTCAATTCTGGTTTGGTTTTAAGTGAGTATGAATTCTTCCTTCTAGCACAGGACCCTTTTTCAGATAGGCTGACTTCCTCATACATACAGCGACATACCCTTAATAGGTAATATTTTTTCTACTTGAAATTGGGACAATGATCTCTACTGCAGGGAGCCCCGCACAGCAAGGTGTCTGTGGTGTCACCAAGTTCCACTGGTCACCATCAAAACTGCAATCTCCAGGTACTTCAGGTTCTAAATCAAAGCTCTGAAATGAGCCTCTTCAAAATTGCCATTCTTGAGCAAGATTATTCAGGGAACTTCCCGGGACCGAGGCAATGTCACCCAGAACTGGGAAAACTGGAAGCTGCTTATCACCGGCCTTGACCCTGACTGTCGGACTCCCAGGCGCAAGCCCTGGAAGATGAGGATGCAGGGATGCCGCCCAGAGATGCGCTGCCCGCTCGGGTCCTCCCAGAGCTTTCCTGCTGCTCAAGTGGGGGGACACTGGCGGGTCGCGGCCCCTCTGTGTGGCGCAGGGTCCCCGGGCCTGGCTTGTGGAAGCTCTGAGGATGCTGACCTCAACTTTGTTCTTTAAAAATAGCTCGGAGGCCGCGGCGCTCACGTGAGCGGCCCCGCTTCCCCTCCATCGGCCCGGGGTCCCGGCGGCTCCTCGCCCCGGGGTCGCGGAGGAGAAGGGGGGTGTCCCCGAGCCCGGGTGACCGGAGGGACCCCCGGCCCGGGCGAGCGAGCCGAGGGAAGGAGGGGCGCGGGGTGGGCCCGGCTCTGGCTCGGGGAGGCCCGGCCGCGCTCACCTTCTTCACCGACAGCGAGATGTTCTCCAGGATCCGGTCCTTCACCTCCCGCGGCTCCATGGCGCCGCCGCCGCCGCCCC